GGGGGGGGGGGGGGGGGGGGGGGGGGGGGGGGAGGAACAACCAACATAACAATAACAAAAAAACCCTCTGGATTTGTTGGAGTTTTGTAGGTCAAATATATTTGCTTCGGATTCAAATAAGGAAACAGTACATTTTGTCCCCTTTAGGTATGCTTTAGAGACTTGAGGAGAACTAATCGATGTTGAAACAAATGTGGTGGCTTTCTGGTGGCTGCTGTATTTCTGAGAGCTCTGAGCTAACCACATTGCCACGCATTTTTCTTTCGAAGTATGGTACATGCTCATTATAAGTGAAGATTTTTAGCTGTATATTCTTTTACTGAAGAGATGCTGCTGCTCTTGGTGAAACCATAGCACCATGAAGTCTGCTCACAAGTGGGATAAAAATAAATGCACTTTGCATGTCAAAGGTGCTGTCCTTCCTGACATGTTTATGTTCCTATCTATGCAGTTTTCACTGGGAGGCCATAGAAATCTATATAGAGACCTAATAGTCAAGTCATAAATAATGTGCTGTCCTTCACGACTCTGTTGTAAGATATTAAACTTATTAAGCAAATTAGATTTTTACATGAATAGTGTTAACAAAAAGACTTTAATTAAATGGCTGGATAATACAAGTACTCTACAAATAGTTACAGCCTAATACAGGGTTATTAATCAAAATTGGCATGCATGAACATGCAGTTCTTTCAATATATTTTTATTATGTTGAAGTAAGTACATGGAAAATTGAGATTTAGTTACTAAATGTTCAAAACTATATACTCTTTGCTGCCCAGCTTCTATGTGCCTAAGGAAATGACTTCTGACTCATTAGGGCTTCAGAAATGTCGTGTCTTCAGAAAAAAAATCAATAAATAAAGAAGGCATCCAGTTAGTGTTATGGCTTTGGTTTTATTCTTTTACTTAATTATTCACTTGCTACTTGGCTAGAGAGGGCAGCTACATCTGAGTAAATGACATCTTTTGGTGTTAGATAGTGACATTGTTAACTTAGTACAGCATGCCACTGTCAAATACTACTGTTGGACTAATGTTTGGTATCAGTTCTGAAAACTAGCAAGAAAAGGTTAAGTATGAGAGAATTTCCATAGTATTATTCATACAGTTTGCCAACAAAAACTAAAATAAAATGCTGATTTTAGTGAGAGTAAATAGCAGAGCTTCAGATCTTTTGAAATAAGAGTTTTGTGTTGTTTAAGAAAAGCATAAAAATGGCAAGCATTTTGGGAATTTTATGCTAATCATACAGGTAGGTAACTTGCTCACATTTTTAGTATTTGTTTACTTTCCACTGTAATGTCACAGAATTCTAAGACTAAGAAGTCTAAATGAAATATAATCTAAGTGAAATATGATCTAAAATAAGGAGAAATAAAAATAAATTGTAAGCGCTAAGGCTTCACTTCTTGCAAACTCTTTAGCTTTACTTTTTTCTCCAATTCTAGAATAGCCAAATGTTTCTATGATACAATCTAGCAAATTCTGTCTACATCCTGGTAAAATATAACTTGGTGTTAAGTATGCAGTGAAACTCTGTGGGTGGCCAGTGATTTTATTGTCTCAAATTCAGTAGTTTATCTGTATAAGTAATTCTATCATTGCAGTCAAAGTATAATCGACTTCAGTTGTATTGCTATGTGTAATGGAAAAATACAAATGTAAATATGAAATTGAAAAATATGTCTTTGATATTGAAACCTTTTTATTTTTAGATACTATATTGTAGCTGTAGTGGAATATTAGGTATACTATACTGTATGATACATTGCAGTCATTTTGTAATGATGTTGTAATGTTTATATAGGATGTTTCATCATCATCACATGATGAAACATCCAAAATCCAACATATTTTAGTGAGATAAAGGGCTACAAAGTAAGGCAGCAAGGGGTTTATGGTCATTTTAAGAGATCTTGGATTAGAAAGTGTCAAACATTGGCTTGTGCTCTTAATGTAACAAGAAGATTATTACTGCATTTCATTTGTAGAAGGGCTTTGCTGTTGTTTGGGTGTTCCGGTTCTCCCTTGTTTTTCCCGTTAAAATAGGAGATTATACACATAAAAATACCTCTTGTCTCTTGAAGAGCACCCAGATAGTGAGTCATGACAGTGGCTTTTATAGAATCATAGTTCTGTCAGTTGTTTTTTTCTTGGAGTTAATTTCAAAATTTGATTTCCTCTAAATTAAATAGTATTGACAGATGGAAAAGTTAATGCGTAGCGTACCTTCAGATGGCAATGTTCAGTTGTGAAATCCAAACTGTTCTGCTATCACACAGGTAAAACATCTGTACTGTTCAACTGTGGGAGTATTTTATAAATGAATTACTAAAATATTGCTGGGAAATGTACATAGGGTATTTATGAATACAGCTTTCACAATTGCTGAAGTGCTCTAAAATGAAAGTTATTTACTACACTGATACATTTAGTGTTGATTTGTTATATATTGACTATAAATAGTTCTGTTGCTACTTTGCAGTTGGTAGTGGAGAACACATTGCTACTGAAGAGTTTGGCTTAGAACCATAGAATATTAAAAACTGGAAAGGACCCGGGAGGTGATTTGATCCAGTCTTCTGCTCAGAGGATGATCAAATTAGATGAGATTGCTCAGGGCTACATACACTTGACTGTTGAATATCCTTAAGGAGGGATGTTCCACAGCCTCTCTGAGTAACAATGATTGACAACCCACACAGTGGAGAAAAAAGTTCCTTTGTATCTAACTGGAATATCCCATGTTGCAATTTGTATTTTCTTTTTGAAATTTGTCTTTTCATCCCACACTTCAAGTAGAGTCTGGCTCCACACAGACCCCTCCGATGAGGTAGTTGCAGATAGCAGTAAGATCCCCTTTAGCTTTTCTTCTCCAGGCTGGACAAACCCAGTGCTTGCAGTCTCTTCTCATATGCCATGTGCTCCAGCTTTCTAATCATCTTGGTGACCTTTGCCAGACTCACCCAAGTATTTAATTGTCTGTCTTGTACTGGAGAGCCCCAAAGTGGGCACAGTGCTCCAGATATGATCTCTCAAGCCCTGAAACAGTCACTTCCCTCAACCTGCTGGCGATGCAGTATTCAAGAGCTATAGTTAAAAGACCAGCTTCTACCTTATAAGTGAGTCTGATTAACCATATTGCTTAGAAGAGGTCTGACAAACTCAGGTTCTTATAAAATTTCAGATTTCGTGTATTTCTCACGAGTAGGTTTAGATATTAGGATTCAAAGATAGTATTTATTATATGAGGCTATTTAAAAAAAAAATCATAAAATACCAGCAGTCCCAATGTACAGAGTATTGTTGCTGATGCTGAGTTGTCTGTTTCTTCATAATTAGATGGAAATTTCTTATCTGATAAATCCTTTCTATTCAGAGTATAATCACTTGCTTGTTATAATTGCTACTAAGTAGATAGCTCAATAAAGTTTTTCTGGTTTCTGCTGTAATGTGTGGCACAGATCTGTTTCAACTGGGGTACTTACTCACTGAGGAAGGATGAAGAAATGAGGGCAGAGTGGAGGGAAGTGAGAAAGTATTCTGTAATGCGATTAGTGACAACTTACCTAATTACCCTACTTGGAAAGCTGGGTCTTATCAGGTCTGCAGTAGTGATAAAAATCTAGGTAAATGAATTATCTAGTGGGAAGTTGCCCTTTCATTGACTGTCATGTATATTTCAAGGAAAAGAAATACTTTTCTCTCTCTGTGGAAAATTTTTATCTGAAGTTCCAAATATTCTGTATGCTTATTTTTTTCCAGAATACCCATCTCCTCCTTTTCTCAAGACAGTATTTATGAAGTTCAGCCTCCAAGAGCTGATAGAAAATCAATAGAGATTTTTCATGCGCACATTCAGGCTGGAAGAGGAGACATGCAGCCCCTGGGAAAAGATGACTTCCTCATGTACAGAGAGTACATTCGAAACAGATACCTGTAAATACAAGCCGGATTCTCCTGCCAAGTCTACTGTACTGAGAGATCATAAAAATAATTTTAGAAAGGAAATCTAGTTTTATTATTTTGCAGTAATAAATTCATTATCTAACATTTCTATTTATTATTCTTTAATATTATCCATTTACAGTTTGTGCTTTACAGGATAAAAGTGATTTAAATATCTGCTTTTCAGATGAAAGAGAAAGTGTATCTTAAGAGACTACGTGAATAATTGGAGTACTTACCATCACTGAAGAATATATATCAATTTATGGCAAAGAAAATACTGCATCTTTAGGTTTTTATGTTAATTTCTTACATTGTTACATTTGCTAGTAAAGCTGAAGTGATTTGTACATAAGAATCAGAAAAGAATAGTTTTCTTCCTGTTTGTTCTATGACAGCGAACAATTTTTTTTTTACAGCAGAATGTTTTCTGATATTTCTTTAGATTTTTAGCAAACTGAGTGCTAAAATGACTGCTTGTAATTTGCTGCTTTCTTAAGCAAAGGTGAAAAATATGTGGCTTATGTCAAAATCTAAATTTGCATCAAGACAAACCAGTTTTATAACCCTTATTTGTGTCAAAACTAATCTTATTGGTGCTAGTAGCTACAGAATCTGTCACATGCAGGGTGAAGATGGTTTGTGATAAATAATCATGGGCTTCTTGTAGGAATCTGAGGTAAACCACTTACTGACTGCATCTGGAAATGAAGGAATGCTCTCCACTTTACTGGGTTTAGTCTCTTAGAGGACACAAAACTATCCTGTCATTTTTCTGTGTGACAGGCGTTGCCCTTTTTGCAGCATTCTCTTTCCATCCCTGTGTTTGTGCTTCTGCAAGATGTAGGGTACTAATGTTAACTCTTTATTAGGTTTGCATAAAAAAAGAGAACAACACACAAACCAAGACTTCCAGTTTAACACTGCCTGAATGATAAACTTTTAACAGTCTGAATAGGTCTGCTGCTTAATGCATGTAAAGGGTTAATTTAAAAAGAAAATACACTCATCACCCATCTAACAAGTTTAGTTGTATGAAAGACTCCAGAGATTGCTGCCTCTGCAGCTACCTATTTTATTCCATTCTTGTGATGATAAGGTTCAGGTCTCAGCCGTGTTAGAAGTTCTGAATAGATGCATATATTTCCCTTTCAGAAACCAAGGAAAACGTGTATGAAATATATATATAAACACGAAAAGAATGGGTTGTGTTGGCTCTGAAGACTAACATGGTGTTCTCTTTGACTCTTCAGTGCTAATGATCATCTTTAAACTATATGGACAAATAAAATAGTTATGAGAAATTTGTTGGGTTTCCTCCAAAATATGTTTAGATTGTTACAGTGTGTTTGAAGGTTGCACTGAAATACAATACCAAAATGTACACCTGTACAATGATGACTTTGCTTCTTTTCTTGTGGAGTCAAGAAGTACAAACATCGAATGAGAACTTGGTCATTTCTGAGCCAGTGGTTCCTTGGTGCCTGTCCCAACAGCTTAAGCTTTGTTCTGTGACCCTCTTCAGATTGATACTTTTGTGCCTTTAGGAGCAGTTATTCCCCAATGCTTTCACTGGAAGTTTCATTCCCTTATGAGTTTTGTTTCTGCTTGCAATGCCCACTGACTTTTTGTTCTCTCATTCTCGTACCTTTCCAGACTCAGCTGTGGCCCTGAAATAGGATCCTTTTAATGTGCACACAGCTGTAGCTACCAAAGGGAAGAAAGCATAAGAGCTTTAGGTAGTTCTGCTGTGACATTTGTGGCAGCTTTCTGTTTCGTTACTGACTTCTTAAGATTTTTGCACAGGATCCCAAGGAGGGGTTCTGTTGGCTTTCACAGGCTCGGGCCAGATTTCACTTGTATAAACTCCAAAGCATGTGACCTGTCAAATAGTCATGTTCTTTTTCTTCTGACTTTTTGGTAGTTTGTTTGATTTCCTTTTCTCTTTCTTCTTCACCACCTGTGGTTCAGAATTGTTTTTCTTACCCAGAACTATGCCACAAGTTGTAGTTTTCCCACTGTATTGATCTTCTCCTTTTGGAGCTCTCACTTCCTGAAGAAAAACTATGTAAATTTTATCCTTTTATTGAAAAAAAAGTTATTGTTTCTTCAGCAACCCATATCCCTTCTTTTTAAATGCAGGCTGGGCCATTATCTGTCTTGCCTGATTTCCTACATCCTGTGGTGGTGACAGACGTGTGTTTTGTTTCTCTTGGGTTCTCTGTGTCTTCGTAATATTTTCTTGAGAAGTGGTTGGCTTGGGTACAGGATGTTAGTGCTTGAACAAATTGTAAGCATCACTTAAAATCTTTTCCTCTAGAGAAAGTCAAGCGCTGCTCTGATTAAGAAAGTAACAGAACATTAAAGTGGTCCCCTCTGATTGTCTCAAGTCCTGCTATAGCAGCACTCTACATTCTACTGCGTGGAGTTGTCCAAGGGGAAGAGAGCCTTCTTTTTTGTTTGTTTATACTCCCAAGGAAGTGGGTCCAGCCAGTTTCAATAAGCTAGTGTTGGCACATGTCAAGATTCACTGGTGTGTCCAGGCAGGGATTTTGCAGTGACAAGCCTCACTCAGGTCCTTTATGAGTTTCAATCCTTTCTGTTCTGGTGTTTCTATTTCCTCCCAGTGCCTCTTCCTCAGTATTAATGGTGGGCTCAGACATGCAGAGGTCTGGGACTCACTTCACCACCTCCTGTGACTGTTACCTGTTCTAAGACTGACATTAACCGTGCTGCAGGGTTAAGCTTAAGTGCAAGCTCTGCTTCTCCCTGGGCTGGGGGGACACAGAGGACACCCTGCAGACACAGCCCTCCTGGTGTGCTGGTTACAGCAGGGAGGATTCCATTATTTCTCAAAGAAGGAAAATAATGAATGCTGATTAAGTCATTGTCTGATTATACCCACTTTTTTAATCCTGGAATATAATCAGAATGTGCAGGATGTGTTTGTTGGCTTTGGGAAGTTGGGTGTTGCACGTTGACTTGCCTGAGTAAAAGCTCAGATTGAAAAGCAGATTCACATACTTAAACTCAGGGACTGATGACTTTCATCTGAGTACTTTCAGAGAATACTGATCGGCACCCATTCCTTAAAGCATGTGTTACCATATCTCAGATATCTTGACTGCATAAGGTTAAAATGTCTCTAGGATGGAAGGAAAAGCAGCTTACAGGCCGTGTTATTTATTCATCTTAAGATAAGCAACACATTACTTTAACACTGCATCAGGAGCCATTTTTATTGTGACACAGATCTTCCTGTGCAAAGTGGGATCCCATCATCCATCACCCACTCACACCCTCCTGCACTAACACACACCATTAAGGTGACAGGCAACAGCTTATGCTATGTCAGGTTCGTAGAGGTGGCACTGTCTTATGCCTACTGCAGATGTTTCCATCAGACTTCGGTCATCCAGGTGTAGTTAGCAACATTGTGTGTTGACCTGGTTTTGCAAAAGTGACAGTGCTCAAAATCCCACTGAAGTTCCAGTATTCTCCACACGTACAGCCACTTTATATCCCAAATCCAACATCATTCAGACCTGGGCTTTTGCTGGAAGATCCCCTTCAAACCTTTTGTGCACCCCCAGCCTACTTGCTGATGGGGTGGTGTAAGGAGCAGAAAAGGCCTTGGCTTTGTGTAAGCACTGCTCAGCAGTAACAAAAGCATCCCTGTGTTATCAACACTGTTTCCAGCATAAATCTGAAACACATCCCCCTTCACTAGGTACCGTGAAGAAAATTAACTCTATCCCCGCCAAAACCAGCATACCTGTCACCTGGTAGAGAAACCTTTTTTTTCCTGAAACCTTCATAACCTTTCCACAGCATGGCCTAAGTGAGCTTTTTAGGTATTTTTCATTTTGTTCTCCCTTTTCTCCCCATAAATCACAGTCCCTTACCAGGAGCGAGCAAGATCTTGCATCTTACTGAGGTAAAGGGAAAAGGAAAAAGGCAAAATAAGAGAAGAGCTAGGGTACTCTGGCTGAGAGTGGAGGGTTGGACCTCGGTGAGGTTTGTTTGAACAACAACGGGAAGAGCAGATTAGTGGGGAGGCCGTAATTTAGTTGCTAGGATCTGCGGAATTGCTGTGCATGAGCCTGGGCACATGCACATTGTGTGCTTTCACGTTGTCTGGCAAGTGGGCAGGTTGACACTGGGAAGCTGGAGCACACCATGTCGCAGAGCCCCAGCTGGGTGTGTGAGCATGGGTCCAACATGCACTGGGACACGTGGAGCTAAGGGCTCACACTGCCATGGCGGGGAGGAGGCTGGGTCACAGCACGTGTAAAAGAAGCAGCAAGCCTGCAGTTGAGACATACCCCATACCCCCACGAACCCTGACGGGAGTCACAGCAGTCATTTGGAGGATACATGTGCCAAGCCTAATTTGAATTTCCAAAGGTCACATTTGTCACTCTCAGTGTACCGGCATTCTCATTAACAACTCTCTCCAGCTGGTCCTGCACAATGGCTTGAGGACTTGCTGTTGTAACCAAGCAGTGCAGCACAGGGCTACCACTGAGGCCTTGGGCTCGTCTACTCTGCTCTCCACTTAAGAGGTGTCATAGGAGAGGGGGCTTTGTACCAGACGCATTATGCAGGTGATTGAATTTTGACTTTGCAGGCGTGTCTTGCTGGGTGTTGCATGAAACCTATAGAGCAGCTTTCTGGAGGTGTAGGTTGGTCTGCAGGACCACCTCATTGAAACCCGTCTTACCTGATGGCAGGAGCTTCAAATCCAGGTAGGCTGTAAACAGAGAGGAGGGCTTCCAGAGGCGAGCCAGCTCACTTGTCTTAGCATAGGATGAGTTACCCCTCTGCAGGTGCTTATTTCTTGCCATTGTGCCACCTCAGAGGAACCTACACAACTGGCTTAGCCAAGACACCTGCAATTACAATGTAAAATTAGATGAGCCCCTTGGTAGCCTTTATAAAACCTGGCAGAAATGTGAGATAAGTGATTGAACCTATAACATTATAATCAACAATGGGTTCCTTACAAAATGATTTTGTGGCTTTAGCCTCTGTCTCAACCATTCCAGACACAGATAGGTGCACCTCTGGTACAGTGATTCTCTAAAACAAGGGCATATACTACTTCAGGGTATTGTCAGGAGTAGATAGGACTGCTGATTTATCACAAGCCAGGGCAGAGAATGGGATGCTCTGGGTTAATGATCAGTGGCTTGACCAAAACAGGGCTCATCTATGTCTCCATCACTGATGGACTGTAGTTACCTCTACCCACATCAGGAGCTTTGTCCGGGGATCAGCTCTCCCTGACTCCTCTGAGAGTCTCAAAGCTTAGCTCTGCTTCTCCTCTGCCTCTTCCAGCATGTTGGCTTGGATCTCTGATGAACATTGTGTTATGGAATGTTTTTTCCAGTAACATCTATACCATTAGAGAGTCCACAGACCCATCCACTTCCCACTCACTAAATGCTTTTCCTGGAAGGGCTGGGTTTGGGTCGTGTTAGTTTTCACTGCAGCCTGCTGAGCAAAAGTGAAGCCTGGGCTCAAAGCACAGGGAAGTGTCCACAGTCTG